AAAAAAAAAAAAAAAAAGCTCAGACCAAAGCTGACATGCAATCATGTTTTGTTTTCATTCAGGAAACATCTTAATGCAAGTGGATAGAAGAAGTATCCAAGTTCTCTCCTGGAGTCGTTCAAACTCAGCTGAAGAAATGCAGTCCAACAGTGTTCATACCACATAAAACCAACAAAACAGGTAAGAGTACACTAACACAGGGAGCAATGGCACTGTGGAATGAATGCAATTCCTATATGAGCAGCAGCAACAAGACCCCACGGGCTAATTCTACATGAGTAAAAGCATTAGAAATCCATACAGTTAGGCATTTTTATATGAAGTGGAAAAGATTTAACTTGAAATGGTATCACCTGATCTCTCAGAACTGGTGGCTCTACATGGGCTATGAACATTTTTTATAGTCAGCACTCAGCACACACACCACGCAGAGGATCTCTTAACAAGAGCCTGGGGTGGGTGCCGTTTCAGAACAGCCTTCAGGAAACAAAGGTCACAGCAAGGGCTGTTCATTTTGTGCTGATAGTATATAATTTGTTTCTCCACAGAAACTATGTTGTGCATTCATGACAGCCAACGTAGGGCCAATGAAAAGACACAGGAGGAAGATGGAAAACATGACTGCAGTCGTCCAAGAATCTCATGTCAGGAAACATGGAGTTAGGGACCAGCTCTGCAATGGGTCATGATTGCCTGGATCCGAACAGAGAATTGATGCTGTTTTGCTACGTAATCGAGGCTCAATTTTAGGCTGGGTCAGACTGATAGGTTACCACAATTCATTTCCATTTCAGAGACTGAGTATTTGGTACTTTAATATTTTTTGTCAACAGCTGTTTCTTCAGAATTTAATAGGCAAAACCTCTACAAGCCTATGGCTCTCAAACCCATTCCACTTTCAAAGCTTTTCTCTCCAGCCTTCACTGGATATGAAGATTAGTACTAAACACAGATTCTCACTTTAGAGTGTAATTCTTGGACCCCTGCTATTAACATTTATTACAGAACAAGTATTTATGAATTATCTACCTGCACTTGCCAGACTGTTACCAAAATTGAATGGTGGAGTTGAGGTAGTGGAAACACCGAAATTCCCAATATTAAAATTCACTGCAGGATTAGCAGTTAAGCCAAAACCACCAAAATTAAACCCACTGGCAGTGGAGTTTGTAGTTTCAAGCCCACCAAATCCTGACAAGCGGGAAGCAGAAAAAGAGCAAGGTAACATTAGTTCTAAACAAAAGGTAGGTTCAGGAAAGAAAAACTCAAATATTTTTCCATCACCATGGACAAGACAAGCATAGTTAAAACAAGAGTAAGATATTAGCTGGCATTAAACATTACTTACTGAACATAAGGAGGACAGTTAAAATTTTTCTCTTCAACTCACTTTCCCTATTTCACTGCTATAAGCGTGTTATTTTTCAACTATACTGTATATAAAGAAGGCAACACTTTTTCCATCTTATTACAAGGCTACACATGAACATATCCATACAATTCAACATTCCTGTTAAGAGCAATATTTAACCGCCTAAGATTGCTCGATACAGCTGCACCTGCACTAGCGGAACCACAGTAGCACTATTATTTCACAAGCTATCAGAAAGGCAAGAATAAACTATTTCCATGCTAACACCATGCCTACACATGAGCAGCGATGGCAGAATAACCACAAACTACAACTCCAGCAGCCGAGGCACCACGTGCGCCTCAGATACTCCCGGGCAGAGTTATTCAAGTTATATTTGCAAAATCTGTCTGCGCCAGTGCTTGACTTACCTCATGCATCCAGGTTTTTTCAGCACTAAGAAAAATGCTAATAGAGCAGCTCCCCAATTCTCCCCCAGGAGTAGCTGTGAACAGTTTCACACTAGACAGACGAGAAGTGTGATCCCAGAACTCCCTCTAATGTTGGTCTCTGAGCACCATAAACCGTGTAGCAGTGTACAAGCAGCGCAATATTATCTTTTACTTGAAGACGGGGCCAGAAAGTCTGTGTCTAAATCAGCCAGAGTGAAAGACCACATGGTACAGCCCAGGCTAACTGCGGTGAAGATGAGCCCTATACAAAGGACTTACTCAGAGTGCCTACTCTAAGAGCCAACAAAGATTTCACTATGTTAGAGTAAGGAAGGTTCTGGCTTACATTTCACCAAGACAATTTTGCTGCTGTCAATTGACAGCAGCAAAACAAACAAAGGAAAAAAAAGATTTCTTCCATCTTACAAACACTTTTACATCGCTCAAAATTTAATTTTCAAGAGCATCTCAAACAGGAACCCTACTGCAATCAAAAGTGATGATCCGAGTAACCTGCAAGCATTAACCAGGCACCACCTAGCATCAATCACCACAGCACAAGCGCCCTAAGAGCAACTCACACTTTGGGCAGGATAAAGCCCCGGACGTCCCCGCCACCGTTCACGCGGGAGGGAGATAACCGAACTGAACTCGGCCAGTACGGTGGGGACCGCATTTGACCGAAGGCGGGCAGGAGAAAACAGCGGGGGAGAAAACCGGGGAGGAAAGCGCATCTCACCGGCTTTACCGCGAAGAGACGAGCAGG